TAGTAAAAACAACACCATACTTACGGTGGTAATGAGAGAGAATAACTTTAGGCCACGTTCAATTTGCTGTTATTTATCCTGATATAATAGTGCAGTGGAACAAGTAGTGATAGACTCTCAAGGAAAGTCTTTCTGAAAGAGCAGTTTTGAAGAAAAAAAATACTAAACAGCCATGTGACTAAGAAGTAATTTTCAATCACAGTATATAATATGGCTGAATACTGAGCTGGATAATGAAAGACACAATGTTTTCTTCCTTAGAAATAATAGTTTCTAAATATTAGTCTTTCTTTGTAGTCATTAATATATATAAAATTTAAGGACGTTCCTTAAGAACGTTCCATGCCCAGTCTACGGCCATACCACCCTGAACGCGCCCGATCTCGTCTGATCTCGGAAGCTAAGCAGGGTCGGGCCTGGTTAGTACTTGGATGGAAGAACGTTCCATGCCCAACGTGGGGCTCGAACTCATAACCCTGAGATTAAGAGTTGCATCATGCTCCACCAACTGAGCCAGCCAGGTGCCCCTCGTATCTTTTTTTTTTTTTTTTAATTGCTACATAGTTCCCAGTCTCACATCTCTTCCCTAGAAAAAAACAAAAATGAATTCAACTTTTTAATAGTCTTCTAATACTTTGAAACAAAGTAATCATTCAAAACAAGAATGTTCACTGAAAGTGTTTAAGAATTTAATTGTGCATTTGTTACCTAAGGAGAAACCAAAGAGTTGGCCAGGGAGGGACATGGGAGATGTGTTCTACTTTTTGACCTTGTTAGTAGTTACACTGTTCATGATTATTTGTTAAATGTATATGTATGTTTCATTCACTGTTCTATGTATATGTTTTACCAAAAAAAGATAAAATATTTTTAAACAGCTTCCTTAAGTAAATTAAATAAAGCTCTCATTTAAATTTATTTATTCTAACTGTCCTTTTTTAAAAAGAGGTTAAGGGACAGAGATGGAACAAAAGCAAAAATGAATGGAATATTTGAGTTACTCTCATTTACACCTTTCAAGAAAAGCTTCAATGATGCTAAACAGATTTAAAACATATTCTCAAAAATAAAACCACTTTTCAAGTAAAATATTAAAAACCAATATGGCTATTTTTGAGAGAGAGAGAGAGAGAGAGAGAGAGAATGAATATGGGAAAAGAGAGAATCTTAAGCAGGCTCCATGCCCATCATGGAGCCCTGATGGAGGGCTCTATCTCATGGTCCTGAGATCATGACCTGAGCTGAAATCAAGAGTTGGATGCTTAACCTCCTGAACCAATAGTTACTTTAATGGCACCAATTCCCTCTTTCTCTAAAGATTCCTATATATAAAATGGAAAGGCACAAATTCATCTCCTTTTTACTTGGTTTATATTTTCCAGGATTTTCAAGTGTCTGAAGAAATGGCACTGTGATGATGTCCTTTGATTCTGGACCTACAGAACTTTCTTTCTATTCTTTTCCAAATACTGTGTCAACTGTGCCTTTATTTGTACGGCATCACCTCCTCTACTAAGTACAACCTAGGGCTCTAATAGCTCCTCCTCTTCACTGCAGTCAGAAGCTATGCTTTCGAACAGTTAATACTGTACTCCTGTTCAATCTGCTGAGAGCACAGTCTTGGAATAATGATTCTACTGCTTAATGTAGGTTCACAAGCCCCCCAAACAGACTGCCATTAAGACCACTTCTCTCTTTGGGGCTGGCAGTTTCTGACTGTTCCACTTGCGAGGGAGCAGTTATTTCTGGCAGTATAGTATGTCTTTAGGTCAGCATGATTTCTCCAATTACAAGTTTATCACTGCCTTATAGATAAACAAATAGCATCTTTGTTCCTATCTCTTAGATAAGAAATAGAAACTGTCTGAGGGGACATTACCCTGTGAATTTGGCCTCGGTCATCTTCATGAGTACATGCTCCTTTCAGAGCTATCTGTCCGTCTTCATAAAAACCCATCACAACTACATATGCTCCTTTTCTAATCTAAAAACCACAGGAGAATGATTCTTTTACTTGTCAGTTCTTTCAAAGTCCTTCTTCAGGTAAAATTCTTATTTTAGTTATGAATAACCCAATACTGGTCTATTACAGCTGCAACAACTCTCAAAAGAGCCGTACAAAAGAAAAATGTGGCTTCTACCTCCAGAAGACATTAAAGACTTTTTTCTTTCTTATTAAGGCACCCAGAACGCATAATATTACACCAGGCCAAAAGGACCAATTCCCTTCATGGAGGAGAAGAGCAGGTGGCTGTTACTTATTAAATTCTCAGAGCAACGTGCGATGGCTTGCTTTCTCCTTTTGTTTCTCTTTGAATAGTAGATGAAGCTGATTTTTTTCCAAGGCTGCTTCTCACCACCCGCATTCCTGATCCTTGACCTAAGCAGCTGTTAATATGCTACACACATATGCTTGGGCTCCTGAACCACCAATGCAGTTAATCTTTCGGTTTTCTCCACGTCAGTTCCTATCTTGTTAGTGAAATTGAAGTTTTTTTTTCTTTCTAAATGTAATCATTTTATCTGATACAAAAACTACATATACAATTCACTGGTTTTTTGGAATCTTTTTTGTCCCCAAAGGTGTCGGGGCCCATGGGTTCTTATGTTCTAATTGAGAAAGGCATGTTCATTCATGGAAATTCCAAAAGGTGGGCTACCATAGCTACTTCTGCGTTTAGGGGTGGGTAATCATTGGAGGCCACATATTACCTTTATTCTCAAAGAAAAGTGAATTCCTTTGATTGAATATAGGTGAAAGATTATATTTTCTGCAGCTAATGATTAGAAAGTAAAATATTAGTGTATCAAAAGACACTTTGTTCTAACTATCTGTGTTCAAAGGAACTTCTCCATTCTCGTAACCCGCCCCCACCATTTTATATTATAATTGCCTATTAACAGTCTGTACCCCTCAAAGACAGGAAGCTCCTGGAAGACAGGGATTGTATCATAATGACTGTTTTATCTGCAGGGCACATGGTCTGGCAGATGGTATACAGCCAATAAGTATTTCTGCTGGTGTTGGTGTTACATTCAATTCAACGTCTAATTCTTAATTAGCCACAGTTTTAGACTAACTGGCATACACCACTGCCCCAACATTTATGAAACAACTTCTAATCAGACATTATTACAGTTCAAACAGATACGCCAAACTGCAAAAACCTAATGATATCTACCCTAAACACTGAGCTTCTTTATGAGAGGCAGCAGAGACGATGCTAACTTGTGATTTGAATCTTTTTGCTCTCATTTCAGACTCAGCTACTAACGATCGGTAACCTTTGGCCTGCCACTTTAATTATGTTGGATCTTGTGCCCTTAGAAATTAAAGTGGGAAACTGGATTAAGTAGTCTCTAAGTCCCTAGCTGAGCCCAGCTTTGAGACTGTGATGAGGCACCAACCAGTTAGGGTACTACTAACATAGCAAGCCCTTGTTAACACTAGAGGGAGCTGCACCCATGCCATCACTGGGGTGGATAGGAAGATTTCAAGGCAAAGCATCTTTAAATTGGAAGATGGACTTTTCAGAATGAGAGGAATTAAGTATTAGGTGAGACACCCATACTGTTCATACAGCCACTGCACAGGCTTTCTGCCATGACCTCCCTCTTGCTGATGTCAAAGTGCCTCACACTTGACTTTGATCAGCATACCTTCTGAGCTCTAATTCGGATTCCAAAAGAACCAAGACAGCTTGAGTCATTCCTACAGATTTCTTTCCCCATTCAGTCTACTATTCTTTCTTAATCAAACTAACAACAATGAAAAAAAAAGCAAAATAACTAATGCTATTATTGGAAAAGGCCCAGAAAATGAGATAGAGGAAGAAAAAGATTCATATCACACTGAAGATGTGGCCTGGGAAAATCAGTAAATGGCTGCGGAATTCATTAGCAGCTTGCCACTCAAACCAAAGCTACCATAGCTACTTTGAAAACAAGAAAAGTACTCAGAAAGAGGAAAGATATCAAGGAAAGAAGGAATCGACACAGTTCTATAAACTGTAGAAGCCTGAATGCCTGCCTACGAGTGGATGTGGTCATTGCCTTGTTGGGTTCTGTGGTATGAAGTCTGCAGGTGCTGAAGTGAGGCCATGAATTAGAGGTAACTGGATCACATTAGGCATCTGGCAAGAAAAGTGCCAAGTGACCAGATATGGCAATGGAGGATGAGGTGGGGAAGGAAAAAGAAAGAGCATTTTTAAAGCTAAAGTTTATTCTGAAGTTATATACACAGACTCTCTTCCCAACTCTAAAAACCATCCAATGGCTTTGAAAATGTATGACCTAAACCCCTTACAGAACAAGTGAAATGAAGAATTAAAAACCTCTCCATTGTATCAATTTTGTTTGTGTTTGCCCAGAGGCACGAGGACATGTTAACCTGATAGAGAGGGTATAAATCATGGATATTACAGAATGTGGTCTGTAGGAGAAAGATAAATGCAATCCTGAAGAACCCTTTTTATGGGAATTTCATAGATAACTTTAACATTCAGGAAAGCAAAACCTCAACAGTCAGAGACAGACTGCCTACTTTTCAGACAGAGGCTATTCCTGAGTAAAAACAAATTACAAAACAACTTTAGAGAGCAGTCAGTGAAAAATCTATTAGAACAAAACAATTCTTTTTCACTTAAAAAATGCAAACTCAGACCTCCAGAGGTAAAATACAAAGTAAAACTCACCACATTAAAATTAACTTATTGCTATGGGTCCAAGTAGTTTAGATACTTGTTTCTTAAATCATCAATTTCAAGTACTCTAATAAGAGACATCACAGCCTCGACAGATTCAAAAAGATTTCCCTTTTCCTTTAGGACATTAGTTTTTTTTTTTTTTTTTTTTTTTTTTTTAGCCAGCCTTTCAATCAATGATCCTTATGGGAAGCATGAGAAAAATGTACTTTACTGTTAAAAGGAGAACAACTTGTTTTCCTCTCTTATTTTAGGATACATGCCAAAGAATTTCCAATTCACCTGCTATGTACTGACCTTTAAAATGTTTCGGCCATCAAATGATTCTCTTTCCTTGAAGATGTATTTGCCATCCGCTGTGTAGAGATTGTACCTGCCTTCAGCTGTAAATATTTCAAAGACAATATTAGAAAAGAAGCTTGGGTTATATACGTTTGTTTTCTTTTGGGTTTCTACAGGTATAGCTAGCAAAATGTATTACCTGGAAAGTGGTACAGTGGGAGGGAAAAGCAGCAGGCTGAGTCAAGAGGCCCGGGGTCCAGTCTCAGCTCTGTTATCAACTCCATACACATTTATTCATTCAACACTGTCCAAGCACTCGAGGTAGGTTATGTATATCATTAGCCATAGTCTTTTTTTTTTTTTAATTGAACTATAGTTGACATCAGTGTTGTATTCGCTTCAGGTGTACAACACAGTGACTCAACAATTCTATACATTACTCAGCGTTCACCGTGGTAAGTCTAGTCACCATGTGCCATACGCCATCTGTCATACAACATTATTACAATATTATTGACTATATTCCTTCCCCATGTTGTACTTTTCATCTCTGTAAATTATTATTTTTTTAATATTTATTTATTTTTGAGAGAGAGAGAGACAGCGCAAGAAGGAGAGGGGCAGAGAGAGACAGAGACACAGACAAGTATCCAAAACAGGCTCCAGGCTCTGAGCTGTCAGCACAGAGCCCGATGTGGGGCTCAAACCCACAAAACGTGAGATCATGACCTGAGCCAAAGTTGAACGCTTAACAGACTGAGCCACCCAGGTGCCCCTATTTTATAACCAGAAATTTGTACCTCTTAATCCTCTTCACCTATTTTGCCCACCCCACCTCTCATCAAGCCCTCTGGCAACCACTGGTTTGTTCTCTATAGTTATTAGTCGGCTTCTGTTTTTTGTTTGTTTTTTAGATTCCACATATAAGTAAAATCATTGTGGCATTTGTCTTTCTCTGTCTGATTTATTTCACTTTGCATAATACCCTCTAGGTCCATGTATGTTGTCACAAATGGCAAGAATTCATTCTTTTTTATGGCTGAGTCATATTCGGTTGTATATGTATATACAAGTAGACACAACCCCCCCCCCCCACATCTTCTTTATCCATTCTAAAAAAAAGATAAGAAATAACAAGTGTTGGCAAGGACATGAGGAAAAGGGAACCCTCATGCACTGTTGGTGGGAATGTAAACTTGGAGCAAAAGGATGAAGGTTCCTTAAAAAATTAAAAATAGAAGTACCAAACAATCCAGTAATTCCACTTTTGGGTATTTACCCAAAGAAAACGAAAACACTAATTCAAAGATATATACACCCCTATGTTTATTGCAACATTATTTACAATAGCCAAGATATGGAAGCAGTTAAAATGTCCATCAATAGATGAATGGATAAAAAAGATGTGGGGTGTGTGTGTGTGTGTGTGTGTGTGTGTGTGTGTGTGCTTGTGTGTATAAAATGAACCATATTCTTAAGCAAATTAGGTCTCTTCTATGGACCTCAGTTCATTTACACAGTTACAGGTTAAGATTAGGTATCTCCAAAGGTTCCTTGAAGTCTAAAAGCCCAAGATTTTGTGTAAGCTGCATGCCTTTAAAATATGTAAAAAACAAACAAACAAACAAACAAACAAACAAAAAAATCATACCAAACGCACACATTAAGTAGTCAAAAGTGCTGGCAACGCTGATTTGGGTTGCAACCAACATGATGTGGGTTGATTTAAGGAAACCCCACCCCTGCAAATGAGAAAGTCCCCTTCAGTTCAAAGGTATCTTTACAGACATTCTACACAGAAATGCAGCAAATCTATGACCTTAGCCTCATCAAAGCTATGCTCTAACTCCTTGTGTTAATTTAGCATGCTTATTCCGAAGGACATCCTTGAAATATGGCAGGAAGAGGATTTCAAAAGGAAAGGGATGACAGGTAAGAAAGAGTGAAACACCTGATTCCTATCCCCTTTTCAAGTAAAAATTCATTATACAGAAGAATCTAAGGTATAGAAAATTCAAAGCATCCTTCAGAATTATTTAACCCTCAGAATATTTTCTAAGATATTTACCCTTTCCTGCCTACCAACAGACACTCAAAAGTATTTGTATTGCCACTTTTGAATATGCTCTTTTATTGTATACAGCTATGGAAACTACCAAGTCAGAATTGGTAAAATATGTCCAGAGCGCTAACTCCACGTGCATAATATAAGTTAGCTAGCCCACTGGAATTACACACTGGTAACTTCTTTTTTTTTTTTTAATTTTTTTTTTCAACGTTTTATTTATTTTTGGGACAGAGAGAGACAGAGCATGAACGGGGGAGGGGCAGAGAGAGAGGGAGACACAGAATCGGAAACAGGCTCCAGGCTCTGAGCCATCAGCCCAGAGCCCGACGCGGGGCTCGAACTCACGGACCGCGAGATCGTGACCTGGCTGAAGTCGGACGCTTAACCGACTGCGCCACCCAGGCGCCCCACACACTGGTAACTTCTAACGACAAAGTATTCACTTAATCAAAGATCAATGACAGGTTCAAAATCTGTAAGTAGCACTGGCCATCAGGGAAATGCAAATCAAAACTAAAATGAGATACCACCTCACATCAAAAATGACAGCAATAATCAAAAAGATAGATAGTAACAAGTGTCAGCAAAGAAGGAGAGAAACTGGAACCTTCACACACTGCTGGTAGGAATGTAAAATGGTGCAGACACTTTGGAAAACAGTCTGGCAGCTCCTCAAAAAGTTAAACACTGGTTTACCATATGACCCGAAATTTCACTCTTAAGTATATACCCAAAAGAAGCGAAAATATATGTCCACACAAAAACTTGTATGAAAATGTTCACAGCGGCATTAATCCTAATAGTCAAAAAGAAGAAACAATATAAATGTCCGTCAACTGAGAAATGGATAAATAAGATGTGGTACATCCATATAGTGGATGATTATTTGGCAATAAAAAGGGAATGAGGCATGATACATGTTATCACATGGATGAATCCTGTATGCATTATGCTAAGTGAAAGAAGCCAGTCACAAAGGATCATATATTGCATGATTCTATTTATACAAAATATCCAGAGAAAAGGCGAATTTATAGGACAGAAAGTGACTGATGGTGTGTAGGACTGAAAGGTTAAGGAGTCACACCGCTAATGGGGTTTCATTTTGGAGTGATGAAAAGTGTTCTAAAATTGATTGTGGTAAAGGCTGCGTAACTCTGACTATACTAAAAATCACTGGATTATATGCTTTCAATGAGTGAATCATACAGTATGTGAATTTATCTCAATGAAAGCGTTATATTCAAACTATCTCTAAGTAAGAAAGGATAACTATACCGTGAACACAGAACATTTTCTTACATGAAGCTCTGGTGCTAACTGAATATAAATCTGGATCCACACAATTTAGAAGATACAGGTTCCTGCATAATTCAACTCTTACATGTCAAAAGGTTAGTTAATAATGGAGCATGGTAAGAGCTCCAAAGAAAGATTTAAGGACTAGGACATTTGCAGAACGTACTACTGATGGTATTAAATGTCTCATAAAATACCGTCTGTACCTGCACAGTCCAAATCAGTAGCCACCAGCCATATGTGATTAATTTAATTAAAAGTAATTAAAATGAAAAGTTGACTTTCTCAGTCTCACTAGCCACCTCCAAGTGCTCAATAACTACATGTGGATGGTGGCTACCATACTGGACATTATAGATACGGAATATTTCTATCATCATAGGAAGTACTATTGGATGGTGCTGGATACAATGTATCTTCTGAACCAACGAATCTATTGTATACTCTAGAGCTCTAAAATTCTGTCTTTACATAGTGATGTTAAGATGTACATCACATCAGACGATCTGTGTTTCCAAACTTAAAACTGACCATCCAGAAGAAAATAAATATTAAAAACTCCTTTAAATGTTTGCTCTGGACAAGGTACATACATTTATAAATATGAAGTATTCCAGAAATTTTTTTCCTGAAATTCTACATATTCTTCTGCAATACTATTATCCAAATGAAAGAAACGCATTCCATCAGAACAAGAGCAAGCATAGAGCTTTGGATTCTATGAACTACCCAAATAAGAGTCTATAGGCTTTGACTGAGTCATTTGAGCCATTTTTGATCTCAGTGTTCCCAAAGGTAAAATAGTGATTTATTTAGAAAAACCTTAAATAAAATAGGATCTAACATCACAAAATGCTAGAACTGAAAATTAGCCAGCTACATATCTCTTAGTCCTACAATGGCTCTAACCAAATGGGCTTAATATTAAATGACTTCCACTTGGGATCTTTGGTATATATCTGAGATAAAGAAAAGATGCACAGATGACCTTGAACAATGGGGATAAGGGACAACAACCCCCATGCTGTTGAAAATTCATGTGTAACTCTTGACTCCCCTAAAACTAAATTACCATTGTTGACTAAAAGCCTTACTGATAATATAACCAATTAATACATATTTTGTATATTATGTGTATTATATACTGTATTCTTATAATAAAGAAAAAAGAAAATATTAAAATCATAAGGAACAGGAAATACATTTATAGTATATACTGTATTTATAGAAAGAATTCTGTGTGTAAGTGAGACCCACACAGTTTAAACCATGTTGTTCAAGGATCAACTGTACTTTGACAAAAAATGGGACACACAAACTTCCTAAAGTATAAATCTACAAATAGTTTATGGGGTCAAGTCCTGATGGAGATCTCCTCTTCCAACCTAGACTTTCTAAAACCAAGGTCAGGGTCCTAAGCAAAGGAAATAAAACCCATTTCAAATACTTGAATTTGTGGTTCCTGATCAGATAGATGCTGAATGTGCTAGAAAAGCTTTCACTTGCTGGGGACAGGCAATGGGAAGAAAAGAAGAATCCTTTTTAAATGTAGATTACTGTCCCAAATCAAGGGTTAAAACAAGGCATTTTTATATAAAGGCTCAGAATCCATGTGGAAAAATTATTACTCTAATTCAAGGTTCCTCAACTGTGGTGATACTGACATTTCTAGATACTTCTTTATTGAGGTAGGTTGTCCTGTACACTGTAGGGAGTTAAGCAGCATCCCTGGCCTCTACTCACTAGATGCCAGTAGCAAAGCACCCTCAACTCCTTAAATGTGACAACCAAAAACGTCTCCAGACAATCCCAAATGTCCTCAAGGGGGGCAAAATTGCCCCTATTTGAGAACCACTGGTCTAACCTTTACTTTTACTAGCTAATCTTTCTTCCTTCTTTCTTCTTTTCAAAAAAAGTCACCAAATATTGCATGGGACACACTTATACTTTTATTTATTTTTATTTTTTTAAAGTCCCCTCATTTATTTGAAGGGGCAGAGGGACAGAGAGAGAATCCCAAGCAGGGTCCACACAGTCAGCACGGAGCCCAACGCGGGGCTCAACCCCACGAAGATCATGACCCAAGCCAAACTCGAGAGTTGGACACTTAACCAACTGAGACACCCAGGCACCTCTGGGACACACTTATATTAAAATAATTATTCACTGTTTACCTAAATTCACCTGAGCATCCTGTATTTCTATTTGCTAAATCTGGCAATGCTATGGGCAACAGAAATCAAAGATCTAGAATGTCATGGTCCCATGCTAGATAGGTCTCTGCCTACTTCCACTGTGCTCATCAAAACAAGTCAAAGGTTTGTGCTCGCTTCGGCAGCACATACACTAAACTTGGAACAACCCAGAGAAGATGAGCACGGCCCCTGCGCCAAGGGTGATGCGCAGATTCGTGAAGCTTCCATATTAAAACAAAAAAACAAAAAAAACAACTCAAAGGTTCAAAAAAAGATATACCAGAGGCTCTTTGATAGCCCATTTTGTTTGAACCCCAGGGATATCATAAGGCCTTACTGATCACAAACTATGCTATAGTTCTTTGTGGGACTTACCATTGGGGTCCTTCCTGAATAGAGTGTTCATGACTGTAGCATGGAGTTTCACACTATTCCACTCTTTCACTATTAGTCCAGACGCCTGAAAACGTTCCAGCACTCGATCGACTAATTCTTGCAGCCTGGAGCAATTGAAGACAGAAGTATAAAAATCTTAGTAAAGTCCTAAATCCCTGATTACTGATTGAATGTTTACAGAGTATCTGCTCTGGGCCAATCACTGTACAAGACCGTGTGTAAGAGGAGGGAGAGAAAAGGCACGTGGTGCTCACAGCCTTATGGAGCAGATGGAGATGGAAACCAATAACTGCAATATATCATGGTGAGCGTTAAGGGAGGGATCAACCGTACATGGAGAGGGCCAGGTTTTCACAGGAGGTTTAAACATGACCTTGAAGCTTAGCATCTTGGGACAGGGCTCAAGAAGCCAGGCTCAACGGAGACATGCCTAAAAGGAAGCGCCTTATTGCTTCATCCTGTCACAGAACCTAAAGCTACCAGGTGGGCAATATGTTTCTGCCAGGATCAAAGGACGTCTGGCACAACTCTTAAGACATTTGCTCACTGGGAAAGAGCACGCACTGTGAAGATCCCCGTAGCCTTGGACACTATCTCAGTGTTTCACTGAGGCTGAAGCATAGTACCCATAAAGACAACTATAGGAAAATCCATCGGCTGCGTGACCATTCCTCATGTGGACTCCAGGTAGCTCTAAGCAGTAAGGGTTCTGCAGTGGTTGTGTTCTATCTCAGCAACGGCCACTCACTCTAGCACCTCCACCAGAAACAATGCTTGCACAGAAGTTTTCATTCTATGCAGGTGTTTTGCTCAACAGCTTGAAGAACTTCCTTTAACACTTCTTGTAAGGCTATTCTAGTGGTGATGAACTCTTCGGCTTTTGTCCGTCTGGAAAACTCTTTTTTCTCTCTCCTTCAGTTCTGAAGAACAGCTTTGCTGGTTGTGCCGACAAGAGGGGTCAGCATCCCAGCAAGTGTGTGGTGAGCAGGCCTCAGGAAGCAGCCATCTTCTGTGACCACCCACTCATCTGATGGTAAAATGCAGCCTGTGGTTTCTACATCATGTACCAAAATGTCCACTCTGAGACTGAGGCAGCTGTCACTGGATATGTGCCGAGTCCATATCAAATGACAGAGCAGTGCACCTGGTAGCAAGTGCAGGGAGCAGCCTGCACCTTCAACCCTTCCTTAGCCACCTCTGAGATTAGTGCTGATCCTGACATCCCTGGCCCAAAATAATCTCCCATTAGTCACTAGCGTACTAATGAACAATAGACTTCACATTTTTTGTACTTCACATTTTTAGATGTGCTGGTAAGAGTCTTTTGGGTCAAACATCACCTCTTTTCCTGGATACAAGTAGCCCTGAGAAACTTAGAGAGTTTGGGAATCTTCCATTGCTTCTTGGGCCATGGCCCAAGTGTAATGGCCCACAGTGTAAGCACTGTGGCCAGTGAGCAGAGCTAGACAGGTTTGCTTTATGTGAGATATGGGTCAACCCACCTGTGTGGCCCATTTTGTGGCCCATCTTGCCTCAGGAAGAATACTCTGGCTACAGCAACTCAGTTGCTTGAGGTCTGTCTCCAAGTGGACAGCAGCCTCTAGTACCCCTACCCTCCAGTGACCTTTCACTCGTTTAGACGTGGGCAAAACAACTCTTTTTGCTTGCACTGCATACACTGCAGCAAGAGGAAGCTACGTCCCCCAGAAACTGACTCGGGAACACAAACAATTATCTTCCCTTTCATGGTTTGCAGGTTCCAAAGTTCCGAATGAATCTTCTTAAAATTCTAAGTTCTTTATCTTGTGTGTTTTTTTTTAATGAAATACTATCCATGAACCAAAAAATATTTGTAAATGAGTAAGCCATAGTTAACATTATTTATAATAATAATAAAAATAATAAATTATAATCATAAATACTCATGTCCCCTCCACCAAACTTCAGAACTAGAACACAGGGCTGGCACTAGGGTGAAGCAAGTGAGGAAATTACTTTGGGCACAAAATTTAAGAGGGTGCCAAAAAATGCAGTAACCTAAATAAATCATACAGTTTATTTTTTTATTAATTTATTATTTTAAAGTTTATTTTGAGAGAGAGAGCGAGCACACGTGTGCAAGAGTGGGGGAGGTGCAGAGAGAGAAGGAGAAAGAGAGAATCTCAAGCAGGCTCCACGCTGTCAGCGCAGAGCCCAATGTGGGACTCGAACTCAAGAACCACGAGGTGATGACCTGAACAGAAATCAAGAGTTGGACACTTAACTGACCAAGCCACCCAGGAGCACCCATGTGGTTTTTTTTTTTTAAAGATTTTATTTTATTTTGGAGAGAGAGTGTGAACATGTGAGTGGGGGAGGGGCAGAGAGAGAGAGAGGGAGAGAGAGAATCCCAAGCAGGCTCCACGCCCCAGCGCAAAGCCCAACATGAGGCTTAATCTCATGACTGTGAGACCATGACCTGAGCTGAAATCAAGAGTTGGATGCTTAACCTACTGAGTAACACAGGTGCCCCAATAAATCATGTTTTAATGCAGTATTTTTAAAAATCAAAATTAATGAAAAAAAAATCCATGACAAACAGAGTCTCAAAATTTTGAATGAAGTTGGGGCCAGTACCGCCGAGTCCGCCCTTTGTGTCAGGATCCAGTGTGGCTGGCATGGGGTAGAACGTTACACAACACACCGGTCACTCAGGATGCTCCAGGCTCTGGAGATCCTAGGGACCCCCTGCTGCCCCATGACCTCAGCACCCCTCAACATGCACATTTTCTTACCAGGCTTCCTCCACTGAGCGGCTTGACAACTGCGACCTCTGTGCCTTCTGTTCCCTGGGCTACAGTTTCCACCTATGCAGATCCTTCCAGGCCCAACTCAAATCCCACTCTTCCATGAAGCCTTTCTAGCCACCCTAACACCCCCACTCCCCTATATCTGTGAGCAATGACTCTGCCCTTCTCTGAAATGCTGCTTCACTTATGTGTGCTTTCCTTAGCATTCTCAGTGACAGTCCCTTGCTATTTCAAGTCTGTCTGTCCTGTTCCTCTACTAGATTATATGCTCAAGAGCATGTTGTATTTGTTTTGTATCTTCCAGTGCACCATTATACTTGGCTTTCAGTAACTACTGGCTGTGACTGGGTAATTGATGGATGTGACTGATTAAAAACTGAGAAGTGAATGTAAAAAATAAAATAAATGAGGTCTTGAAGTATCGCTGAAGATTTGCAGATAAAACCAGTGAAGGAAGGACACTTCAAGCAGAAGAAACAGCATGTGCAAAGATGCCAAGGCATGCACGATCACATCTTATTTGGAAAACCGATTACTGAATATAGCTATAGCAGAGAATGAGAGAAAAAGAACAGTGGAGATGAGCTTGATATAAGTAGTGGTTGGACCATCAGAAGCCACGGAGATTTGAAAAAGAGAACGATGTGGTCAGATGTCCATTTCTGAAAGCTGACTCTAGCAGAGTAGAAAACACTTTAGAAGGAGAAGAGACCAGAGGTACAGAAGTCAACTAGAGTGGTAGTATCAAGCACTATTCTAAGCGCTTGAGATCTGTTAACACGTTTAATCCTCACAATGAATTATTATCCCCATTTTACCAATGAGGAAACTGAGGCACAGACAAGTTATAAAACTTGACCAAAATCATATTAACTAATTGGCGGCAGACCCCAAATCAGAATCCATGCCGTGTGGCTTCCGAGTACGTGCCTTAAGGACTGCGCTATAAAGGGGGAAAGGATGAAAACAACTTTGTCCCCACATTCCTAAATAAATAAAATAAAATCTATTCACACTGCACAGAACTCTAATTTTACAGTTAGCTGATTCAATTAATTGTGCATGCGGATCTCCAAGCAAAGACCTACATTATTTTGGGTCTAAAGTTTCTGATTAACTAACACCATGACAGAACAATAAGGTTTTGAAATACTTCTGAATGCTACAGCATAACAAGTCTGAATATAACCAAGGACTTCAAAATCTACCTCAATTACAAATCACAGCAGAATGATGCCCTTCTTTTCTCTCCCCTCTATTAAAGAAAAAGAAGTGAATAGGGAGTTCAACTAGACAGAAACAGGGAGCAAGAGATATTAGAGGAAGGAAATTAAATAGACTAAATGAAAGAAACCAATTTCCAGCTCTGTCTTTCTGGAAAATTAAGATTTCTGTCCAATTCAAGACTTATTAGGACTTTGAAGGAACTGAAGTCCTTTAAAAAGTTCTAGTCTAACCTCTCATTTTATGCAAGAGGAGTAAAGCACAGACAGTCAGGACAGAGACCAGAATCCAAGTCGGTTCTGCTGTTATCAATTCACTGTGCATTCCACAAAGGCTGGCTCTTTATCTTATCCCCTGTTTCACCCTGGCACCTAAATTAATGCCTAATTGACACATAATCAGTTCTCAGTCAAGAGCTGTTGCATGCACACACGATTCACAGATGACAAATATTCTGGAGTTCTATTAAAAGAATTTAAGGGTACTTGGGTACAGTCACTAAATTTCAGGTTGATGTCATACATACCGCATTGGACAATATGTCCATATATTTCTAAAAGTATAGCCTCCTGATTCTTTCTTCATTGATCCTTTCCTGGTTGACTATGAATGAGTCACAGAGCTGCTCTATGCCTTTCTTCCTCATAACAGAATTAAAAATAATATAGGGTTGCTATGTAAAAATGATGTATTATTCTTTTTAAAAAATTTTTTTTTCAACATTTATTTATTTTTGGGACAGAGAGAGACAGAGCATGAACGGGGGAGGGGCAGAGAGAGAGGGAGACACAGAATCGGAAACAGGCTCCAGGCTCTGAGCCATCAGCCCAGAGCCTGACGCGGGGCTCGAACTCACGGACCGCGAGATCGTGACCTGGCTGAAGTCGGACGCTTAACCGACTGCACCACCCAGGCGCCCCAAAATGATGTATTATTCTTAAGCAGCTTTATCATTTAGACAGTGCTTTGAATTTGAAAACAGAAGCCAGTTATTAATGCCTTAAATCTAAGCTCTTAGTTTAAAAGGCCTGTAAGCGCTCCAGAGCTCAAGCATTCCAGAGGCATCTTTACAGATATGTATTTGTATTGCA